ACTTTAGTTACTAATTGTACTAAGTATACACTTCAAAACCAGGTCAACCTTTCTTGTAGTGGTCTTGGAGTTCTAGGGCTACTGTGTAGAATGGCCTATAGAACTACTTGTTTTGAAGATGTGTCATTTCCTTGAAACTCCTCCAATCGATCACGCCGTGCTCGATGCGAGTTCTCGATCGTCAGACCGTGATGGAGAGCGGCCGACAGATGATGGTGGTGCTCACCAAGGCAAATTCGGTGGTGAAGAGACGGAATTCCAACCATAAGGGGCAAGCGCTGTACCATACTTGTAGCACCCAGCCAGTGATCCGAGGGGCAAGCGCTTTTGGGGCGAGCTTGGGGCTGGTGTCACCTGAACAATTAACCCGAGAAGCACAATTTGAGGCTGGAATCCATCAAACAACATCTCGAGTTTTGAAATGATGTGACATCAAGACTGTGAGTCAAGATAGGTAGATACCAGAATTGCAAAAAATAAATAGATATTTGCACTTGTTTTTCTGGAGGATGTTTATGGGCTGTTTTCGTTGTCCGTTGTAGGTTGCCGCTCCCTGGCTTGGGCCGTGGATGTTGTGATGTTTGAAGTATGGGGGAGCTCTGAAAGCCTGCATCCCTGGTGTTTACAAATAGCGCAAAGTTATTTTCTTGTGCCTGATCACTGAACATGACTGGAATTGATATGCCGGTATGCCCTGTCGGCCTTGTGATCATGGATCTGAAGAGTGTTGCTCAGGATCATTGGGCAAGGAAAGCTTGTTTAAGGACAATTTGATAATTGTGCAAATTCCTTCCCCGGCATCACTTAAGATATTTCAGAAATACTTAAGTTTATCAGCATGGTTTTAGTAGAAGTGAAACATCCCATCTTTCGAAGATAGTGCAGAGTTCGCCAATCAAGCGGAGCAGTACTTGCACTTCACTGCACATGCCAACTCAATCAACAAACATCAACCCTTTGTAAGGCAAGCACTGTAGATGAGACAACTGTAGTTGACTGTTGACAACATTACACCTGATTGATGTTTGTTCAATCACAGGGTTTTGGAGATGTGTCTCCAAACAGGAGGTAGATGTATTAAAGTTGGCAGATGTATCTGCCATCGTCCATGTGGATAGTTGTTTCAACCTGTCCGTTGATATCCAGGGGCTTTTTCTTCTTGATCAATCTTGTTTTGTTCAATCTTGCTGATTGATCAAAAGAAGGATTGGTTGATCAAGATCGATTCTGGTTGATCAGTCTTGGAAAACTGAAGACCTTCTTGATCAAGAAGGCCACACGCTCCACGCCCCTTCTGCAAGTCACCCGTCCTGCCCTGCGGACCCGCACCAGGCTGACAAGTGTCATCCAGTGGACCTACACAAGAATGTGGCGGAGGCCAGGATTCCCCACACTTGCCGTCAAAAGGGGTCCAAATAAAGGTGTCACTCCATGGTGTTCAACATTTTTCAAATAAAGGTGTCCTGTAGATTTTCGCTTGAACTGTGGTGGAGGCTCCTGGACCCTGAACACCCTCTTGGGGCCTGGCCGGGACCAGCACACGGTGCTTTTTGGACTTCGCAGCCGCCGTTGGTGGGACGAAGCCGCCGTGGAGAGCCGCAGTGGCGAGCCGATCGGATCAGCGCGACCTGGGAGAAGTTGAGCAGTTGGAGGGGGTTCCTGGCGTGAAGAAGTTGGATTGCCAAAGGAAGATGTCAGTAAAACTGGTGCATGTGATGTCCTTCTTGATCTTGTCAGGATCAGTTGTTGGAGTTATTTTGTGGCTGGACCATTCATTTGCAGTTGATTTCCTATACTCGTACTTGTAGAAGCTATATATATATAGAAGGGGGTTCTGAGTGACACAGGTGACATCTTTGATGGAAGGTTTTGGAATCATCAGCTCAACTCGTGTTTCAGACTTGATAGCGTCCTTGTTACTAGTAGCTATTTGCTCCTAGTAGTAATACCCTTTCTACTAGTAGTGATGCCCTTGTTCCCAGTAGTAATGCCAGGAGCGCCCCGTCCTTGCCGCGTCCGAACGCCATGTCAGATGAACTCGTCTTCACCAGCACCGCCTCTTCCTCAGCCTCTCGGACCGCTCCACTCCAGGTGCTGGCCGCCCTGCAGCACTTGGACCAGGAGCTCATTTGGCCGTGCGCCGCAGCACGGCAAGACGCCGGAGACGCTGGTATACCGGTGGCCGCACGTGAGACAAATCACAGACCGCACGTATCCCAGAGTATCCAGGTTTTCTGTGTATACATGACTCTATGACTCTATGACCTAGCTATACATTCATTTACCCTACATTTCATTCACCGCCCAAAACCTCTTAAATGTAGGCGAAAAAGCTTGCGCCGGTAGACCGGTCGACCGCATGGTTCCATGGCGCCACGACGACACGGGCAGCCGAAAACAAGGATTGCAACAGGACGTGGATCCTGTGTTTATGGTGGAACTCTGTCCGAATTCCCCTTTTGGCATAGTGAAACACTAACACAAGCATGATCAGATCAGGGCTTGATTGGTTGTTTTCAGATCATGTGAGTGTTCTTTTGTTGGGTTCGTTCCGAGTTCTGAAGGAACATGAGGTGATTAAGTAAGCCATGTATGCAAGTAAACACGCAATCATGCTATATACTCATTGAACTCCCTCGAAGCGACCAATGATCATGAAAAATGAGACGATCGAACATACAGCTGACAAAATACCTACCAGAAGCCCTTCCAGAACGCATGCACACACCACTTGCCCCTTCCCCTTTTCACATCCAAGACATGTTGTTTATTCGACAAACCACCCTGCCCACCGGACACACCGGAAAGGGAAAAACAAACAAACAAACAGACCATGCAAACCATGGAGACTGACCGAACAGAAATTATCCCGGCAAGAGACCCCAAACAGTGTGTGTGAGGTCTACAAGCAGAAAGTCTAGAGATCTAGACGCATTGGGGTCCAGAGAGGTGATGGTGGTGATGAAGGTGGGGATCGTGGTGACGGTGGCGATGGTGGTGAGTGAGTGAGTGAGTGAGTGAGTGAGTGAGTGAGTGAGTGAGTGAGTGAGTGAGTGAGTGAGTGAGTGAGTGAGTGAGTGAGTGAGTGAGTGAGTGAGAG